TAGATTTGTAACCCTGTAGAGTATTTAGGTACACACTATTTCACGGTTTAGAAATCATACCATAAATTGCTAAATATGATAACAGTCTAATAGAATAGTACCGTAAACCATGCCTTGTCTATTAAAACGACATAAATTGCTGTCTAGAATGAAACCATTTTGAACGTTTTTCGTTTACTGTTTTGGGGCAATTCATAAACTTTACCCTGCTCATTACTCTGTACTGTGAAACCGAGACCGGCTTGTTTCCTTCAGGAACCTGTTGCGTACGTACGTGCATCGTTACGATGATATGTATCAACCAAAGTCCCGATCCACAAAGCGTTCGTAACGTTACAACCTATCGTAACTCTAAAGTTTATCATAGGCTTACGAATGTTGTAGCTCTATGAACGCTTTGTGGTTCGGGACCCAAGTCAGCATGTCTGACCACCCGATCCCATTAATCGCCCCTTATGCCAAGCGTTGGTTGCTGAAGAATCATTTAAATCGGATCTTCACTGGTACATTGGGGTACCAGCACAGACAGTTATGAATACCTTTAAATCAGTGCACGAGTTTACACAACTGATGTGGCGAGGCGACTGAGATCCGCGTAATGATATGGATTATAATAACAAGTTCTTTTCGGATAAAATGCAATGCCTATTCAGGAAAACTAACAGAATATTAAACAGAGATGTGTATTTGAAAGCAATTCTAATATTTCTTATTATGATTACGATTGTCTCATAGTTGCCCGAAGCAGTAACATTTTGTGTTTTTTAAAATAATTTTTTATGGAACATAATAATAGAGAATGTCGATAAAGTGGCGTTATAACAGTGTTGCTTCCCTTAGTTGCTAAGTGCCGAAACAGTCTCTGTCACTTCAATCAACCCGTCTGGTTGCCAAGTGATGGAGTGAGTCATGGAGTACCCATGTGGGGAATCGAACCCGGGCGAACGCTTTAACCATTAGGCTACCCCACCGCCCAGCCAAGTGATGGAGTGAATGAGTTATAGAGTTTAGTTTTACGCCACACTCAGCAATATTCCAGCTATATGGTGGCGACCAAGTGATGGAATGCTTGCCACCTGCCTCGACCTGACATTCACCCTCGCGTTACATTAACGCCTTGATATAGCTAAAATAATATTCATAGTTAAGCTCAACTCACGCACATTTGCCCTCTAACGCTTCCATATAACAGTGTGTTAAACCGGGGTCTGATCAGGCGCCATGATGATAAAGCAATTTACCACTGAGCTAAGATGCCGTCTTTCGTCTGAATAACATAACAACACAATAATTCGTTTATGGTGCACTCATTACAAACCTTTCTCAGATTTTAGAAATTTACATAACGAAATTGGAAAATGAACACAACTAGGTGTTTTTTTCTGAAACAGAAACTGCAGTCAAATTGCTTATTACTTAAGTGAAGCCTTGTTTATTACCTTAAGTATAACACCCTCTCTCCCAGTTGCAGCACTCTCAGTGTCCATTAAGGTAATTTCTCGCAATGGGAGTTGAAAACGGAAACGTGACACTATCGCGTTCTGCGTGGAGGGACAGTTACGAGAGGGAGGTGGGATATTTTATTGGTGCTTCTAATGATTGTTTCTTATGATGGCAATGACGTAGTTGAGGTTGTTGAGAGGCATACAGAAGTTGGTATTCAAGTATCAGACACAATATTATGGGTGTCACCATCTGTATTGTATAAACAACGTTTCAGGGCTTATCCTTGCTCCTTCTTCAGGTTGACATCCATAATATTTTGTCTTATAAATGACGTTGTTCTCAACCCAGATCAAGTAACGGTTTCCTATTGAGAATATTGTAGTTAGTGCATTTGAATCAAACTGGGAACAGAAGCCAAAGTCTGGCATAATCAGTGCAGCTGATATGGGAAGAGGATGTGGGAGTGAACATGCTGCACTGGTGAACACATACACGTGAACACCACGTGCAATTGTCACATTCCAATTAAGTTCATTGTTCCGTTCAAATATAATCTTCCATTTCACGCTGAGCACATGTTGTCCCCAAACAGATGATTCTGGAGAACGTTTAGCCGTAGAGGGATATTTCAAGGAATGATATTTATGAAATGTAGTTGTAAACATGTAAAACATTAAACGTAAAACAACTTCGATTCTTCAGCTTGTCAAATGTAGTGTTATGAAGTGGATTTCAGGGGTACATTGCCTTGTATGCCACTTCGCGTCCTATCAGTTTGTGAAAGCAAACCGTCAAGAGTTACCTCCCTTATGCAAACCATTGTTTCGCGTGAGTGTATATTGAGGGTCCTCAATGAAGGATGTTTGACACTTTGGTACACCTTAGCGTATGTCAATGGCACCTAATGTTAATGGTGACGAGGGACTATGGATCATAATTAAGGCAAATCTGGACAAAGCATCTGCGGAACCGGGAACAAATATGGGAAGCAACTCTTTACTACAAAGTGCTGCATCTTGAAGTGATCCCGAGGGCACTGAAGCCTAACTAAATACCTCAACAGCTACAATTGTACTATTACAAATCTTATTATCAATTTGTTGATTGATCAGTGGGCGTTCCAATATTCCAGCTGAAGGTGGCCTGTAAGTTTGAAAGATTGTACAAGACAATTCAGTGGCCGATATTATGAGCAGTTATATTACAATACTGCAATATTACAATCACGTCTCTTCTTATGACAAACAGATTGCTGGGGACCTACTCAAACCATGAATCCTTCTATTACTACTACTACTACTACTACTACTACTACTACTACTACTACTACTACTACTACTACTACTACAACAGCAACTACTACTACTACTACAACTACTACTACTGCTACTACTACTACTACTACTACTACTACTAATTTCAACAATGGGACACGCTGACAATCAGAAAGTGAACAATTAGCCTGTATTAGTTTGCGTTTAAATTACATTATCAACTTCCTGCCTCTCTTGGTTATATATTCAGGTCAGTTTTGCGAAAATCTGATGTGTGACTTAATGCCGAGTCGATGAATCAAGACAAATGGATTCTGGAATCATGTTCTTAAACATGATTGAAAGTTTGGGACCTTGCGTTATCGACCTGGGCCCAGATTTTCGAAGCTCTCTTAACGCTAAGATAGTCGTAAGTGCCATACATTAACATTAACTTACGACCATCTTAGCACTAAGAGAGCTCCGAAAATCTGGGCCCTGCTCATTATATCAACCACTGGTTTGCCTTGTCCAGAATGGGTTATTCTACAGACCACAAAGCGATATTAACGATACGATGATCGTTGGCCAAAGTTGAAGTGTGGACCGCTTTGTTAAACTGGTCCCAGAATTCATAAATCTGGAAACTGTCTGAGTGCAGCGTCAACGAACAGACAGTAGCAGATAGGCAATTACAGCTGGAGAGGCATATACAAGAATACGCGTTAACGCGCATTTCCGATGTGTTTATTTAAGAAAAACATATTTGTATATTTCCTGCCGACTCATTATGAAGTTGGATGACTTGACCTAGTTCATGAGACACGACCACGTAGACTGATGCCTGCATGCATGTAAAGAACACCTCTCCTGCTGTGGACGTGTTTTCTACACTGTACTTACATACACCATGACCTACAGCAATGCCGATATCGCTACAACGCTGTGATGCAATAACTGAATGTGGCATTCATTTGTTGCATGCTAAATCATGGCCACTTATTAATACTGAGTCTGGGCCGACATATAAGGTACAATTTAAAATTAGTAGTTGAAACCAGAGCAAGATCCACGACCATGAATGGTGTACCACGCCACCTTATCAGCCACGTCACAAACTGTCTCGTAATCCTCAGTTAAAGTTCAACATTAAAGGGTCTGAGAGACAAAATGATTGACATTGACATCACGTGGTATGCAACTGACAACACTGGAAACGTGAAAACGTAAGCGAACATGTGATGTGCATACAGGAAATACGTGCACTGTAACCGAATTGTGCTGATGTGTAATTAAGACTGAAGAATGAAGAATGGCTTTATCATCCTGACGCATGTTCAATCACCTGATACAACGTTAGGATTATTATTTCAGCTGTATAAAGGTGTGTTGATGTACTGAGAGCAAGAATGACAAAACATAGCAGCAAATAGTGATGACTGTGTATATCGTGAGCGTGACGGAACAATAGCCAACAGATTAATATTATAAGCAGTTTATCTGTTGAAATGTTCAATCTACAGAGCACTTTTAGTCTTTGTGACTGCTTTGGGCAACCACAAGACAATCTAATAAAAAAACAAACCGGAATCATAGTGACGACACCAGGTGTTCGTGAAATATTGATCGCTTCCTGTCTGTTTGAGTCACAAACCCATGCAGAGGCCAACGAAAATTCATAAATATCACGAGAGCATCACCAAAGCCCTAGCTGTCGACTCATTCCTCAGATGTAGACAGTAACACTGATACTATTGTGCAGTACAAGAAACCATCAACGCCACGTGGTATACAACGCTGAATAGAAACGTAATTTTACGTGATAATATTTGCACGAGTGCGTATCATATCCATTCAAGGAATCGAACAAGCTCCTGCGGCGTAACCAGGCAACGCTTAATCATATGTGTACCCGACCTTCTCTACCCGTGAAGATCAGGGTTAGAATTGGTCTTCAGTTTCCCATGGTTGACCGTGAAGGCTTACGGGATCGTGTGGTCACTCTCGCTAATTTAGTTGACACATGTCATCGTAGTGGGGGCGGTGGTGTAGCCTAGTGGTTAAAGCGTTCGCTCGTCACGCCGAAGACCCAGGTTTGATTCCACACATGGGTACAGCGTGTGAAGCCCATTTCTGGTGTCCCCCGCCGTGATATTGCTGGAATATTGCTAAAAGCGGCGTGAATCTAAACTCACTCACTCACTCATCGTAGTGCGTAGATCGATGCGCATGTTGCTGATCACTGGATTAAACAACATCACTGGATGAAACAACAAACAAACTAACAAACCCAGCCTTTTCCGTGGTTTCTAAACGTTCGAGGTCGCAGGAGGCGTTCAATATCGTAATATGTTTCTTTTTCTGTTTATAATACTCAAATTAAACACATTTTCCCCTCCTTCAAAGAATGAGCCCACCACACAGCTTTACGCCAAAGGAGAAAACGGTGTTTCTAATATTTTTGAGAGTTTCCCAACGTCCCATTGACGTTGTTTCCAACGGACTTTTCTCCGTCAATTTGAGACATCTTCTTCGTGAGGACGACATTATTTTGTGTTTGCTCCTCGTTCTCAACTTTCCTGTCTTCCCTGCGACACACAATGAGGGATATGGCAAGCAGGATGAAGGACGCCACTTTGATTGACACTTCCAGACCAAACACCTTGTACCGGAGATCGACGATGTCGTACAGCGAGCAGGCACTGTTTCCCTCGGATGAGCTCCCTTGCAGGAGTTTACAGGCGCTGTCAATGACCTTCCCATACACAATGGGAGCTGGTAACCAACCTTGAAAACAAAATTACGTTTGTGTCTATTCATCAATCGGAATTGCGTGTTCAGATATATTAGCTACATTTTGACTAATATGATTAAAAAATATAAAATCTGTGTAATACTATAATTCTTCAAAATGGATTTAATGCCGCTTTGAGCAGTGTTTCAGTTACATCATGGCGTGTCATTTGTTGCAGAAAAGGCGATACCAGCAAGTTGGGGCATGGTACTAACGAACCAAGAATCGTGTTTCTTTGTTTGATGTTGGTACATGGTGCCAAAATAATTCATAATCAGTTAACATACTTTAGAAAATATTATATTTAACATTGAGGTAATCTCTTAAATCCCAATAACTGCGTGTTCATCCTAATTATTTGTAAAATGTATACAACAGATATTTCATCATTATGAATCAAAATGTCAGGCAAAGATATTCTGTGTATATTTCTCATTTTTATCTTCAGATAAGCAATTACTGCACATACCAAGTAATGTTGAGACAAAGTTCAACATGCCCATTGCAATAGCCTTGTCTCGCTCCTCCACGCTCCTGGAAGGAAATAACAGAGTACATAACATGACGTTTCACATGAGAAGTCGTCTTGACGTTGGAAAAGAGGACGGTCACATGGACACTGGCGTTCATCGACATCACGTGAGGCTATCTTGTCAAATAAATACATCATAACCATCTTAATCTTGAACTATATATATGTTTTGGCATAAACTTTTGGGCTGTATGTTCGTGATATTGGATATTTGTCAAGTCATTCTTCTGCAGAAAGCAAAGGAATGCACACTGAAACCTATAAATCCCATACCGAAACTCTGACAATCACCTTTTCGACTTATATTTGTAATTATTTTTAATTGCCCAGTCAGTTGATCTTGAATTTCCCCAAATAACCTTTCACTTTTAAGAAGACAATGTATAAATATCTGCGGACCAACATTTCTGTTATGGCCAGTAATGAGCCCATGACATTCCCAATGATCATGTATTGAAGCACACTCCGGCACAGCGATGACTTAACATAACATCACTGCCACGGGCTAATTTGCATATCACGTGGCCGGACTTTTCTCTTGTTTGTAATCAAACGCGCATATTCATAATAAGAAGAGACTGGACTCACGAAAGCTTTTCGGCGCTCTCTTCATAATGTTTTACATTGTTACATATATATTCTTCCACAACTGCGACAGTTAGGTCTATGACAGTACATATTTAGATATCAAACTGGCTGCATCGTTTGCTCTCCGTCGGCTTCGATGACAGCACGTGGAGCCGTACAACCTATGTAAACAAAGGATCGCTACGCAAATCGAAACAGTGTTACATGTTTTTGGATATTTTCTCAGTGAAACTAATTCATTCTATTAAAGATGTTTAGTTAGATGTGTAGACTCGTAAAAAATATGAGAGTAAAAGAAATCTGTACATTATATTGAATGGACGGTGCAAGATGTGACGAATCGTCACATTTTTCTGGCCTGAGGCAGAGGTACTATGCTGGCTTGCCGCATGGAACTCTGGGTAGGAGAGTGGTAATGAAGAAGTATGAATTTTAAGAAAATGATTGAACTTGTACTAAATGTGTATATGTGTAGACTTGGTCTCGTCGCTATATGGCTGAAACAATGTCCATGCGACATTAAACTTCAACTCACTCACTCACTCACTTCCCATTGATCCTGATTGGAAGACGTGTGCGTCCAGGGACTGATAAGTTCTTTGGAGGACATTTAGAAGTAATGAACAGAGTCAAAGATGTTTTTGGAGATCAACTTCTATATAGAAAAATATATATTTATCCGACAGACAGGAAGACGCACCCGAAGGAGTAAGAATTGACCTCGTTACTAACAAATAAAAAAGTTGATATAAAAAAAAATCTTGTTTGTAATTTTGACTCAGGGGCTGATAGTTGAACAACGATGTACAGTATTCAGGCAAAGTACACAGCACATACCAAGATCACTAGCCGACAGTGAATGTACTTTAGTTTGCCAGATTCAGGGTAGCCAGTAGGGTGGTGTACACTGGTATGTACATAGCCGTAGGACAACAGAACTACATTGTCTTATTTGTTTGTTTTCTGGAATAATGTGTGTCACACGTGCACTTCAACTACACAGGGCACTGATATGATAGGGACTGCGATGGTGCTAGGTGAAAAATGAGGACAAACTGATTACATCACTCATGTGTCGTGAGATAACACCATTGCTGTACATCTATGCCAATGCAAGTCACCCCTATCCAGCCGTAGGACTAATTATTTTGTTTGTTTGATTTTCTGATACCACATTCAGTAATTTTCCAGCTTAGTGACGAGTCTGGTACTGGTATTTGTGCCTGCCCAATGAGATACCTTGATGCAATTTGTCGAACGCCATCCTCAGTAACAGGTCGTTTTATTTATTGTTATTTGCACTCATCAGTTGTGCAGCTCTATGACGTTGGTCTTCAAATAATTGAGTCTGGACCAGACAATCCAGTGATTAACAGCATGAGCATTGTTCAGCCGTGATACGATGACATGTGTCAACCAAGTCAGCGAGCCTAACCACCCGATCCCGTTAGTCGCCTCTTACGACAAGCATGGGTTGCTGAAGACCAATTCTATTCCGGATTGAGCTTACGTTGCCATCCCGAAGAGTATGTGAGATAGTTTAAAACGACGTAAACATATGATTGAGTAAATGTTGCGTAACGCAGCATCATAATAATTGCCATGATATGTGTCTCAGCTGCAGTAAATTTATTTGTGGACCTGTGATGTTATGAAAACGAAGACCAAATAAAACACAACAAACTACGGTTCCTACGACGTCTAGGAACAAGGAAGAATATTTTTGTATTTTACAACCGTTGTTCGTACTGATCATTTTGACTAAATTGTGGAAGTGGTCGCTACCAACAGCAATTCGTTATCTCCGTCAGTTCGATACAAGCAGTCATCGGTCCCCAGTTGCGCAGATCGATGCTCATGCTGTTGATCACTGGATTGTCTGGTCCAGACTCGAGTAGTTACAGCCCGCCGCCATATAGCTTGAATATTGCTGGGTGCGGCGTAAAAGTAAACTCACTCACTCACTCGATACAAGCATGTTCGTTAAAAGCGTAGTTTACTCTGTTATATATTACATTCAAATAAGGATCTCCTGAAGTCCTCCCGTAACCAGGTTTGGAACACTTAAAATGAATTTCAGAAATGAACGTTCAGTGTCCAGCGCTATCCATGCATTCTTAACCATAAATCTCCCACGGAGACTCATCTCTAACAAAACTACAGTAAAGTACGGCTATAACGAGCTCGAAGGGACCAGCTAGTGTTGTTCGTCATACGCAAGGACAAGAAATACAGTTCGTCATATCCATTGTAAGAGTGCGTAGTTTACTATGTTAAAAAGGTTACCTCAAGATTACCATGTAGTGTGGAAGGAGCGCAACTGTCCCGAACATTGTCATTAGCACCGACGTCGCAAGGTAGGGGATGAGGTAGTTACAGCCGTTGTCGCAAATACCTGGTGTCGCTGTCATCCCTTCGACACGGTAGCAGTTACTGTATACCTGTAAATGTTGTGACATCTTAGACTGATTGAAATGCTTTTGCGATTTCATTGGCAGCCAGTTCTTATCCAGGTTCTCAAGAGAGTGAGCAACCACTCATTTGGGGAGTGAGTGAGTTTAGTTTTACGCCGCACTCAGCAATATTCTAGCTATATGGCGGCGGTCTGCAAATAATCGTGTCTGGACCAAACAATCCAGTGATCAACAGCATGAGCATCGATCTACGTAATTGGGATACGATGACATATGTCAACCAAGTCAGCGAGCCTGACCACCCGATCCCGTTTGTCGCCTCTTACGACAAGCATGGGTTGCTGAAGACCAATTCTAATCCGGGTCTTCACGGGTCTCATTTGGGGAGTGTGGGCACCCACTATACATGTTTATGCTCACTACGACATGAATCAATCATATTTCACAGATATCTGGTCCAGTCGAATTCTAGTATCAGTTTTGAAAAATAATACTTTGCAAAAAACAATATATTTTACGAAATCTGAAATATACATTGATAACGGTTTTAGTGTAAGGAATGTACTGAAAGGGCCGCTTTAACCTGTTATACATAGAGAAACAAAGTGACAACTACATTTAGGTATCAACCTACATCTCCCGTGTGGTTCCAGCATCCCGCTTGACAGGGGGTAGAGTAGGTCACGTGATCAGCTCCACATACAAGCAGAGATGACGTCCCACTGCAGAAGCATGCTGGACCAGTTTCGTTGTCGTCACGGCTGATGTGGGAAATAAACTTTGTTACGCGTTTATAATTAACACGATTGGTGATCAAAAGTCGTAAAACCCCAGTCACCCATCAGTGATTCAGTGAGCGCAGTGCCTCTTAACGCCGCTATGAGCAGGATCTGGTTTACAGAGTTACCCGTGAAGACCCGGGTTAGAATTGGTCTTCAGTAACCCACAGGCAAATTGTAGCGCAAATAGGGTTGCGCAACAAAGAGAAAATGACCAGTCTTTCCATATGCGAGCGAAGCGAGTAAAGTTTGGCAACGTGCTTCCCTCGCTTCGGTTCGAAAAATATTTTTAATATCAAATAAAATATCGCCATCATCAAAGGTAGACACTCATTTCCTCACAGAGTTGTGTTCTCAGATTTTCAACTTCATATATAATAATTACTCACGTACAATATATTTAATTCAACATTTTAAGCGACACTCGTGGCATGTCAAATCGTTCTTCGTCTCCATTACCCCTGACAGCTTCCGGTTCAACGGAGTGAAGGAACAGGGGACTTAATTTTAAATCTGCTTTCATTTACCCGTTACGCCAGAAGTGTTTTTGTAGAATAAATGTTACGAAAATTCTACCAATAACGACGGTAGATGAGAAAAATAATCCCCAACAGTTTAACGGTAAAATTATGCAATATGATATTTGTGTTTATTTTCTGCTTATTCTTGTTCCTTCACTCCGTTGAACCTGAAGCTGGCAGGGGTAATGGAGGCGAAGAACGATTTGACTTGCCACGAGTGTCGCTTAAAATGCTGAATTAAATATATTGTACGTGAGTAATTATTATATATGAGGTTTGATATCTGGGAACACAACTCTGTGAGGAAATGAGTGTCTACCTTTGATGATGGCGATATTATATTTTGATATTAAAAATATTTTTCGAACCGATGCGAGGCAAGCACGTTGCCTACCTTTGCTGGCTTCGCTCGCATATGGAAAAAATGGTCATTTTCTCTCTTTGTTGCGCAACCCTATTTGCGCTACAATTTGCCTGTGAGTAACCCATGCTGGTCGTAAGAGGCGACTAACGGGATCGGGTGGTCAGGCTCGCTGACTTGGTTGACACATGTCATCGTATCCCAATTGCGTTGATCGATATTCGTGGAGTTGACCACTGGATTGTCTGGTCCAGAGTCGATTATTTACAGACCGCCGCTATATAGCTGGAATATTGCTGAGTGCGGCGATAAACAACAAACAAATATAAACAAGCACTACGACCCAGTAAAACCAACAAACCAACCATGATCACAGAGTAGCAAATAATGCGCTGCAGGAAAGTGAGAAACGTCTAAGCCCCTCACCACTTTGGTGGAAGCATCTTGCACACTTATGGAGCAGATGAGCAAAAAATAATCATCAAGACTAGGGATTCGAACACGTGATGTCAGGATGCTACCATTCCACACAAACATACAAAAAGTATGGTTCGATTTCGATTCGCTCTGTTACTTGGTTGACACATGTCATCGTATCCCTATTACATAGATCGATGCTCATGATGTTGATCACTGGATTGTCTGGTCCAGACTCGATTATTTACAGACCGCCGCCATATAGCTGGAATATTGCTGAGTGCGGCGTAAAACTAAACTCACTCACTTACATGTTTTCAGTAAATATTAAACTCACAAGAAATCGACTCCTTCAATGGGGGTGTTTTCACAGCCAAGTATGAAGTTACAGGCGTTGAGACCAATCGTTACTGTATGTACAACCATTATAAGTTTCAGACATCCCTGCCGCGAGAGGTTGAGTCTGCCGGTGAAGACGCCGCCCATGAACGTTCCCGCCGCTGACGTTACCAGGTTAGATATACCTGTAAACATGCATTCCCTTCTTGATATCACGATCATGTTCATGCATTATCGGCTTCGGGTGCAAGGTTGTGCATGCATGTGCCCTCTTTGTGCAAGTGACATCGTTGCAAGAATGCCATGCATCTCACTCAGTACCATCGGCCTACATGTACATGGTTTTTTTATTTATAGAAATCCATTTCATTTGTAGAGCTTACAGAACGGTGGGGTAGCCTAGTGGTTAAAGCGTTCGCTCGTCACGCCTAAGATCCGGGTTCGATATATATGTCCCACATGGGTACAATGTCTGAAGCCCATTTCTGGTATTCTCAGCCATGATATTGCTGGAATATTGCTTAAAGCGCCGTAAAACAAAACTCACTCACTGTAGAACTTACAAATACAGACCTAAAATAAGACTGGTCCTCCATGCCGGTATATTGAACTGCTGCTCTACATACTTCGGTGCAAAGGAGATGAAGCCGCTGATGGCAAACCCGTACATGCAAGTGTTCATGAGAGAGATTGTGTACACTGGCCTGGAGAGGACTCGCAGAATAGACAGAGGCAAATCTGTAACATTGCAACAAGACAAAGGTTAATAAAATCTGCAAGTGGGCGCAACAAACGGTAAAACTTAAATTATCAAAATATAGTTTAGAGTTGGCGCTTGATTTTGGGATACAAGTTATAAACGTCATTTTTCTGCATTGTTTAGTTTGTTTGTTGTTTACCAACAGCAATATTCCAGCTCTATGGCGACGGTCGGTAAAATAATCGAGTCTTGGTCAGACAATCCAGTGATCAACAGCACGAGCATCGATCTACGCAATTCGGATTCGATGAATGTGTCAACCAAGCCAGTGAGCCCACCACACGATCCCGTTAGTCGCCTTTTACCACCTCAACGTCTAGCATCTGCATCATCTCTGGATTGTCCCTCACATCAACATCAAGCTGATGAAAAGAGGCGTTAACCCATCCTCACTAACCCACATTCATTTTAAGTGACAGGTAGGAGATAGTCATTTGTTGGCGTGGAGGTTGTGATCTCTTTCCAGTATCTCTACAGAGAATAACTTGATAGGACTAACGAAAAAGGATCTCAACGGATCCAATCTCAGCTGAAGTCTAGACATTATCGTTAATACACTGTGCGAAACTGAGACATTGTCTCATTGTCTCCGGTTGTTATCCACAAGATTGATGCACATTGTACTATAGATATTGAGCTGGCAGACAAACAAAATCATGTTTGCGGAACTTGAATCAATTTTGCTGGGATTGCCAATTTGTTGAGCATAATCACTATTTAAATATACCTTTGATCTTCCCAAGAGCTGTTTCCGTGTCTGGAATCTCGTATTTAGGAGCGCCTGCAATTCTTTTTGGGAAAAGAAAAAGTGGAATAGACACGAGCAGTGCAATTCCCCCGAAAACAACGAAACCCAACCACCAAGCGCCAATCCAGCGAGGGTCGTCAGGAGTCAGGTAGGTGTCTACAATTAGAAATATAGGTGTACTCGAAATAATGAATACATTGTCCAAACCACTCCAACGAAACGAAAAATGAAATACCTCGCCAGCCCTCGAAAACCATTATTATTTGCGGGCTCCAAGGACGAGTTATGTCAGAAAGTGCAATTTCGGAAAATATTTATAGACTTTGTGGCAATAAACGTGATTTCATAAAATGTTTGTTTATGTATGAATTTCGACATGTATATGTGTGTCTAGATGATGAGGTAACTACTTTTAAGATCCACTGGAATCTTGGACAAGGCACTCCCAACCACGAGGGCAACAGATGGTCCAAATATCAGGCATGTCATCAGCGCTCCTGAAACCGTGAAGAGATTTGCATATAACTCAAACCGGTGACTTAGGGTATTGTTATAAGCCACCGTAATATCATTGTTTTCAGAAGGGGCGGTGGGGTAGTCTAGTGGTTAAAGCGTTGGCTCGTCACGTCGAAGACCCGGGTTCGAATCCCCACATGGGTACAATGAGTGAAGCCCATTTCTGGTGTCCCCCGCCGTGATATTGCTGGAATATTGCTAAAAGCGGCGTAAAACCAAGGTTTCAGAATATCAAAACAATTATCTATTACAGTTCTGTGTCATTATCATCATGCTCCAAAGAGGTTGAAAACAGACTGTCAAATGCCAACCTCTGTAATATTCGTAACAATGCGTTTAGAATAAGCTAGGAGATATGTTTTACTTAACTATAGTCTGCTAGAAAATGCAGGTGTAAACTATTTGTATACCGTGAAACTTCGTTAGGCAGTACCTCAGTACATGTAATTGGAAAGCCCTTCCCTGTATAATACTGGACGCTTACATGGATAAATAGGAGCATACCTCCAGGACCACCACCAACGACTTTACTGCAATAGCAACCGTCCGAATTAACGGGGTTTCACTGTATAGAACCTTGCTTTTACACCTAACCTCGACGTACTTGTATTCAATACCACCTATAATCCTATAAACTATGTATACTGTATGAAACTGAAACATTGGTTCTGTGTAATAAGGATGATTAAATACGTAAATATCGGTACACTTACCTATATATATAGAGGTGCGTGCCCTGTTTCCTACGTTGTTGTCGATGTAGAAACTGGACAATGGGATACGTGGGGTTTTGGCAACACCTTGCAATGCCATTGTAAACCCAATGACCCACAACGCCAAGGTCGATCGGCCAGTTTCGTAGGTACCTTCTTCGTGAGCAGATGAACTGATATTGGTCACATTACTCTCCCGACACACGAACTGGGTTTCGTAGGCATTGGTCGTGTTTGATACCTCTTCCGGGAGACTGACAGGATGGATGAAATTCGCCAAGGATGTGAAAATGCCGGCAAAGCCAAATATTAGCCCATTCACGCCAAGGATTCTTGGTATGTGACCATGTTTGCCGAAATGACTGAAAAATAGGGCTGCAGTGACGTAACCGATGTCGTTACTGCTGATGAGGAGCCCGCTGATGGTGCTGCTGAAGTTGAAGTGTTTCTCTAGAGTGCTGATCTGTGACGACAACAAAGTTGTGAGCGTCTGCATAAACATGACCACAACGCTGTAGGAACATGTGAATGCTATGAGGCTACCAAAAGGCTGACAAGCCTGGGGTTTACAGGAACCGATGCCACATTGTGTTTCCTCATTAGTATCCTCATCCTTTGTGCCGTTCTTCTCATCCTTTACCTTGTCTTCGAAGACCGAACGAGAGCGCATGAAGAACTTGTAGATGCCACCCTTAGGTATTCCTACCACTGGATCCTGTGCGCTGTTCATTTTTCTATCAGTAAAAAAAGCATATTACGCACAGAGACTATGACCCTTTAAAAATTATCATTTCGAACCATTAATGTAAATACATCTATGAATCCATTTTACCCAGATTAGATTCACGTTCAGAACTGTCGTCCGTCGGCCTACGTTTTGGGACACTGTTTTTCTCACTTATCTTCAAATAGATTCAACTCGTACAAGCACCGAGGTTTATGTATGTGCAAAAAGAAACCATTTTTAAATACTTCCTCACACTTGTACAAAAAATTACCATTCTAACTTTAAATATTTCCCTAACAACACAATGAGTACCGTGTTTATGTTGACATGTTAAGGAGCAGCTCAAAAGGGAAAAACACTTACTTTCTTCAATCATCTTCAGACAATCCTTCCTCAATATCAGTTTCTCTCTCGTCATCGTATGCCAGGATAATAACAGTTGGATAGACACTTGTGGATTACATGAATTTAAAATAAATTGAAAACTAAATCTATCATACTGAAGATAACTGAGGAAGAGCGGTATCCCATTGGTTAGGTTGACAGGTTATGACCCCAATAGCGATTTTGTTTTAATTATCATTCCGTCCATTACAAGTTTGTATTGTCAAAAGACAGTTATTTTAAAATCACCGCTCCAGCTGAGCGCTACGTTAAAACGCAACAACGTACATGGCATATATCCGTAATAGTAAATATTATATCAAAAGCACTTTAGGTTTTACTGTTGGAAACTGTTTATAATTTTAAAGTGTATGCTTTCTTTCCCGGGAGTGTATGCCAGTACACAAGGCAAAAACTACACTCATGAGCATATATTTGTATTTTGGGAGTGAGTGAGTGAGAGTGGTTACATGTGGATTATAGAAAGGTCTCGGTATACGAAGGTATCAGATGGTAACTACACTAGTGATCAGATAGATGTATTCAGGTTGGTCTGTTTAAGATAAGCCTTGTTTCTGAGCCGTATTTGAATACAAAGCGAAATGCAATTTGTCTCGTCATTCGGGGTCTTAATGATGAACTGTTGCCAAAAGGCTGGAAATATAATTCTCGCATTCACTTATTGTCATGTTACTGTAAAACTGAAAGACATCTTCAAGTTTCGGAAGACGCATGTTCATCGTGGATATTTTAAAAAGCAATCTCATAAACGCTAATTACGAATCGTGTGTTATTTGACATCATTCGTAAATAATGCAGTTGCCAATTTCGTTCAGGTGAAAAGTAATATGCATATATTCTAAAAAGTCATATTTTCAAATGCAACTTCATTTTTATGCATATTGCAATATAATTACTGTGTTATTTTACATCATTCGTAAACGATGCAGTTGCCAATTTCGTTCAGGTGAAAAGTAATATGGCTAAATATGCATATATTCTAAAAAGTCATATTTTCAAATGCAACTTTACTTTTATGCATATTGAAATATAATTACTGTGTTATTTTACATCATTCGTAAATGATGCAGTTGCCAATTTCGTTTAGGTGAAAAGTAATATGCATTTATTCTAAAAAGTCACATTTCCAAATGCAACTTCATTTTTATGCATATTGCAATATAATTACTGTGTTATTTTACATCATTCGTAAACGATGCAGTTGCCAATTTCGTTCAGGTGAAAAGTAATATGGCTAAATATGCATATATTCTAAAAAGTCATATTTTCAAATGCCCAGTTTTTATGCATATTGCAATATAATTACTGTGTCGTAAGAGGTTACCTGAATCAGTTCTTCATCAAGAGATGCGTCAGGTGCACAGACCGAGTCTTGTCTCTCTTATACCTGCAGGTCGGCGGACCAAGTCACCTCCAGCTACCTATAGCTGTGTCATAGCACTGCTGGTATGAAACAAGTCTGATCAAACAGATTATTCTTGATAAGGGAGCCGTTCATAAGTTCAATGTGCCAAAACATCGTATGTAATTCTGTGGGGGCTAACCAGGACTGTCAAACTTCCTGTTCAAGTCAATTGATAACAGTTGTAATCCTACTTTACTAATGACGGCATTTCAACTGTAAATTGGGCTGGTTGAAAAAGTCCTGAACTCGACACCTCGACACCTCGAAACCTTAAGCTCAACCAGCTTTATTCATCTTTGCAAGCAGAGTTCGCACGACAATAGAATTTCTTGAGGTTGTCAAAATGTTCACAATCGCATTTAGGTTGGATCGGGTACATCTCAAAACTAAAGGAATTAGTTTATCGTCATTGCTGGAATGTTTGAACTGGTCCCTCACACAATAGGCACAATGACAATTGTTTGTGTAAACCTCAGTCAGAAACAAGAGTCTCTTAAGTCGGTCAGATGGTTGTATTACCACCCACCTTAACTATTCTAATGTTCCATGGGGATGTATCTGTATTTGAGTTCAAGGTTTGAAAACACAAATTGGTATGATGTGGCACCACACATCACACATCCTCAGCCTTATAAACCATAACGGAGGACACCGCGACCGGGTTTGAGTGACTGGATGTACCCACTTCGGGAATCGAACCTGGTATTCTGCTGACGACAGCTTAATCGACACGCTGCATGTACTTAGCCACCTCTTATGTCTAAGTATATATGTGCTGTAAGAGGCCGAGATAGTTGCAAACAGTGTCATTCTTATGTATAATCTGCATTATCACATTTTGTTTGTTTGTTTGTTTGTTTGTTTAAAGCTGTACTCAGAAATATTCCAGCTATATGGACTGTAAATAATCGAGTCTGGACCAGACAATCAAGTGATCACCAGCATGAGCATCGATACAATGACACCACAGAGTTCTAAAAAATCAAAATTAACTTAGAGTATTTGATGTATGTAAATGTATTCAGGGCTTACACGCACACAGTGAGTCTATGTATACTACTACTACTACTACTACTACTACTACTACTACTACTACTACTACTACTACTACTACTACTACTACTACTATCAGCAGTTTAAGCATTTATGTCACTCTCAATTTCATGTTAATGGCGCTACATTTTCATTACGCCCGACAATGGAACAGTGTGCACTCGAGTATCATTCTCTGCTTCCTTCGGAGTATGCAACCCAAGCTGCCTGTGAGTTGTCTGAAGGTTCAGTCTGATTACCAACTCATCCTACCGGGTACCCAGCCACAGCTATGAACGAACAGAGACACATTATGAACAAAGTCATATGCCAAAGACACCAGACCTGCTGCATGCGCCTCATTGTGAGACAAAGCCCTACAAACGTTTTGGAGTCAAAATCTGAAAAGGTCAAGGACTCTTCTAGATCAGTGTGGCGTACTGTCTCCTGATTTGTGGCCTGTGTGCTTTGCATATATATAGGACCACGCGCCACCACAGATGGCCAATAACATTGCCTTGTGCAACTGTGCAAAGGTCTCTGAAACTAGCATACTAGTTAAGCAAATGCTTCCATCAAAAAGCGACGCAAGAATAAACTATTTTCTTCAAGAAAATAAATATATTAACGCTCGATAAAAACGTTTAATGAAATGAACTTCACACCGTCTACTCATGCAGCTAGGGTCAAGTCACGGTCACCAATTCCTGTGAGTCTAGAGCAGCAACAATTGCCGATAACAGGGTTAGTATTATAATGACAATGCACATTATACAGTTTACATCGTATGGTAGTCATTTGTTTACATCAAGTTAAGAACCTCTTGTCACCAAGGCGGCAATCGGTATATCACTTTAGGTCATGTGTCGATACCAACGTAGGCCAGGTGGTGCATTTTATTCTGAAACAAGAGATTTGTCACAATGGAAGTGTTACAAGTATGTTTGCGATACTTTGCCATATATTTGGAATCGTGATATACATAGGTAACTGCCTTTGACTTAAGACTGTCGTCAAACAGTTAGCTGACAACATACGCCTGACAACAATAGCGGGTTTACACTATGAAGCCGTCCCTTTGCGCATTATGCAGACTGACACCGCTATGTTACTTACATAGATGAAACGATATGTGTTTGAACATCAATGGTTTTCAATGGGGTTCAGTAATGAAACGAAACACACAACTATGAAGAGTCTACGAGTCAGGATTTTACAGGCGCTGTCTGTGACTTTGCAGTGGATGCTTGATGTTTCTTATCAGAGAAATTGTTCACATGTTGACATTACTTTTTAGAGGTTCATATTTTCATAGGATTTCTTAAAGTCAGTCTACAACAAGGAATGATTTGAACATATGTTCTATTCAATGAACGATGAACGTAAATAGTCAAGACCGAATCATTCAAGCCTCTTCAGGGCGGACCTCGTTAATCTAGAAACCTCACCTTCCTCAAGATTTGGAAGTACTATATGTAGACAAACAAAAGAAATAATAAAAATAATAATTTATTGCCCGACAAAGGAATTCTTTTTACAACAGTGAGGCATACAGCAAGGTTAAAACAAATTTAGCAAAGAACAACGATCACCTTAAACACACAGATAAACAGGATGAGAAGGATCACCAGTGTATATTGTAAGAGACTAGTAGTCAAATGCATTTAGAATTGTGGCTGGGTCTAACATTCATTTAAAAGTCTAAACGAGAACATTCATTGGGACGGTATTCACTGGGAACCACCCGGCAGGTAACCCTGTTGGAATAAGCTCCCGCAACCTGTGCTGGTCGGACGACCATTGGGTAGTGTGCTCAGGCTCCGCAGTTCACAGTATCAATCACTGGGTTGTCTGGTCCAGACTGGGATATTTCCAGACCGCCGTCGCATAGCTAGAATATTGTCGTTAAACGACTCACTGTACTAAAGAGGTTATTCTGCAGTCAGGAATTAGAGATATCGATGCGTAATAATGTGATCTAATACAGATATAGGTTACCGAATTAGATGTTTTCTACTTGGAGAAACCCACGTGTATGTGTGTGGTGTGGGCGAATTTGACCTTCTGGACCACTTCGTCACTAATGTCATACATTAGTCATAAATTGAAAGACCGCCTATATACTGGAAGACTCTATTTTCTGAATAGAGCGTTTCCCCTGAATGCGGAAGGTCGGAGTCCATCCTCTTACCATGTATTACTACGAGATGTTACAAATGGGACTTGTTGTTTCACTGTCTGGAACTCAGGATTTCAAGGACTGACCACGGACTGAACGACTATCCAACAGCTTTTAAAGCTTCAAATAAGATTGACAACAAAGGGACGCAACTTTTGTCAGTCTTTGTCAAATTGAATGATTTCTTCCTTCTAACCGGCAGAGTTAATCTATCCGTCACTTCCATTGAAAAGTGAATTGGCTGTTAACTCATAACAGAAGTACGGTGTAACGGAGAAGTAACATGCATAAATGTCTCTCTTTAGCGTGATGAAATATCGCCGAGAAAATATAGGCACATATATCACTGCTGGTGGTGCATTAAACCGTAAATTGTGTTTCTGTTAACAACAATCATTTTACGTTCGCTCCGAACACATGGACCTGCCGACAAGCAGCTGGCACAGAAAGGTGAGGAACATACACAGCCTTCAGCTGTAAGTGGCGCTGCGTTAAGGGATGAGCTTCTTGTGGATGTCAGCAGTTTCCGGTCAACCCTTAAGCTCTCCTCTTCGAAAGGAGCATGTGACTAGACGCTCTTGACCAGGGTCAATCACCATACCATGCTCTACATAAATATATAATATCAAGAATAATGTGTTATTTTTGTTGTTTGTTGTCTATTTCACGCTCATCGTTATTCTAGCATTATGACGACCGACTGTAAGCAGCGTCTGGGTAAGACAAACCAATGACCTTATGAACAACAATCTACGCCGTACAAATCAAGCAGGTCAACTCTTATGAGTGAGTGAGTGAGTTTGGTTTTACGCCGCTTTTCGCAATATTCCAGCAATATCACGGCTGAAATGGGCTTCACGCATTGTATCAAGGTGGGGTTTCGAACCCGTGTCTTCGGCTTGACGAGCGGACGCTTTAACCACTAGACTGCCCCACCGCCCCGTCAACTCTTATGACAAACATAAGTTGCTACATAAGAACCACTTCTTAATCTGTTTCAGATGTTCGAGATTCACCAGTCAGCTGACAGTCAGCGATTTCTGATAATAAGACTTAAGACACATGTCCTAGGGCACATCTCACCGAAGAATTAACGTACCCCTATGGTCCTAGCCGCCAAGAATCAACGTTATAAAAGGGTACTGAAAGCTGAGAACCCCTTTCACTTCATTGAAGGAGTGAGATCCAGTCGGTCTATGATTACTTTTAATTTTTATTGATTTTATTGTGGTGTCCACGTTGTTTTTGCTATCCCTTTACACCAACTTTACACAAAAATACGCGTACTTTTAATTCAACATGTTCTGAATATCATTTGTTTAGCTAGAGATTTGACATATGCACGCAAGATGTATTGAGTAGTATCTTCAAAGACATGGATACGGTTTCGAAGTTTTGAATTGCTTCAAGAGTACACATCGTAGGTCCCTCCACATTAATTAGCATCACGAATTCCTTCATGATTGCACATTATTACGTAAATATTATGAAGCTTTATGTGAGAACACAATGTGAAGCCCTTATTTAGGAATACACATTACGAAATTATTTATGGTACACATAATGAACTCGTTTATGAGTACACATATATTTATTGACGAATGCTTACACGAGTACACATTAAGGATCTCTGGTTGATTTCAGATTATAAAGACCCACATCATAAGGCACATTAATCAGCACATGAATTCCTTCCTGAGAAAAATACCTTTATACGTACAGATTCTGAACGTCTTCTCCATGCGTACACATGGGAAATCCCTTCATGAGTACATATTGTGAATCCCTGATGAGTGCGCATCA